AGAATACAGAACAGCATTTCCTGAGGTCAAATGACCACAAAGGTTCAAATTAACATTTAATATTATTCAAGTAATAATAATATTAATAGTTATCCCAATCAGTTCTTTTAATGTTTCATACCTTTCTGGCCAAGTGCTCCCACATACCAGTGACAGGTTTACGATACACATTAACTGCTGGGGCAATAAAAACCTAAAAAAAACATCAGGATGGTTTACACACCACATGTCTCTTTCCCAAATTATAAAGCAAATTCTTTTAAACACTAATATATTATCTGGGACAAATAACTATAAATATATTACCAGCCAAAGTCAGTGGAGGAAAACATCATCTCAGAAAATCATTGAGCCACAATGCCAACACTCGGTTATTTACTAAATATTGTATCATTCAGTCATGCAATAAGCCTCTTATTATTGGGACTAATGGTCTTTCCCGTTATGAATCCCACAGCACACAATCCATACTGACAAGGGCTGATACACTCCCAGTAAGGTCCTTGTGTTTGGTTAATAAGATTCATATAGACTTTCTAGGGTCCAATATTCCTACATTGAGAACCAGTACAAGAATATTGTGTCTTGCCAACCATGTTTCAACACAAACATTCCTCTTGATCCATGGTTCAACAACTAGCCATGTGTGCCTTAATTAATCAAAACTCACCTGAACNGGTCGTTGTCATTGACTTTGAGCTGGGTTATTGTTCCTTGTTTACAATGTCTCTTTTCCAGATTGAGAAAGTATTTGGTATTTTTCTCACCTTCATTGTACCATTGTACTTAATACACACTTTTTTTTTAATACACACTTTTCTTTTATTCCATTGGTTTGAGTTTACATATTTAGAGTCGGTTAAGGCAGTAACAGCTTAATGTTTCAACTCTGCATGAGACTTTGGTTTGTAGGCAGGAATACACAGGATCAACATTTTTGACCTGCAGTTGTGAGACTCACGCCTAATCATAAATGCGTGAAACTCGGCAGGTACATTGCCTGAAGAGCAGGCTTTTAGCAAGATGGGCATGCAGACGTCCTGTGGACAGCCACTTATTAAAGAAAATCCTTTTATTTTTCATGTGTTGCCCAATAAATTGTTTAGTTGAGCACGCCCTATATAGCACATTTTGGACGGTCACTTTTCAAATCCTGGCTAAAAGCCTGATGATGAGGCAGCATTAACAAAGCACTAGAATTTGTGATATCTTTAGGGAAGTAATTTGTGAGGAGATAAGCTGAACAGGACTACAGCAATTAGGGTCTGGTTAGAGCAACATCAACAGGGAATGCAGACTCTCTATGCAATAAGGGCTGTGCACAGGTGTCCAGAAAAATAAACCAGGAAATTAAGTACTTAACAAGCAATCTGTACAATATACAGTGCAGGTCTTACGCATTATTATCCTAGACCATTGTAAGATTGTTAAAGAGGAATCTTGCTCACCTCCAATCTGTTATTGATGAAGAAAACACCTTCCCAGACTGTGTGGTAATAAGAGTTCTGTCAAGATCAAAACCTGCAATCTAGAGATTCCAATCATACTGTTCTAGTTTTATCATGCCAATGTGTAATGCTGAGGTAAATAAGCAGAGAATTTTTGTAATTATAACATAAGAGAAGTTTACAGAGAAGCATAAGGTGAAGCCAAGAGGTTCTCCATGCACTTCTCAAGTGTATTTAAATATAACATGTATATAACTCAAGATTTAGATGAAACAAGTTTGCTATTTCCTATTTGAAATGTTTAAGAAACTGGTTTGAAAAATAATACCAAAATCCAATTTAAACCACATCGTATATATCTACACAAATAGATCACATAAAACTGAAAAATGACAAAAAAAAAAACAGACGGACACTCTAACCCCGAGACGAAAAATGAGAAATAACTGCACAGGTTTAAATTTTCTTTTTGCACTTGGTATGAAATGTTGGAGCTAGAACCCCTTAACAGTAGAACTTAAAAGCTGTTATAAATACCTTTGATCTTCCCTCTATTCCTTTACTTGTAAAAATAATAAGCTTTCCTTCTATATTTTCCCAACAATCTTCAAAAGCAAGAGAACTTTCCTGCTTGGAAACCTCTTGATCTTGTTTTTGATTCTGCTGTATTTTTTCAACCATCTCTTGGCCAAATTCTCGGCGTATATCCTCCAGGTCTTCTTGCGATAGATTGTCATCATCTGAGTCACTTAAGGTATCACAACGAGCTTTCTTTGCTCTTGGTTCTTCATCAGGATCATCTTTTTCAAAAGATGTTGAAGTGAAGTGAATAAAATAACGATAGCTGTCTCCAAGGAGACAAAACATTCCTCCAGGTCCAAGGGATGCTGAGTCCCCTTTGTTCAGATTTACACCTCCAACACAGCTTGAAGTATTTCCTAGCTGAAGGAAAAAAAAATATATTAAAAAGCAAAACCTAACTTGTGGAAGGCTCAGTAAACATATGGCTAGTTTGGTAAGTTTAGATCGAGTGGTCCAGGTTCAAGCCCTGGCTGGGGACATTGCACTGTGTTCTTGGGCAAGGTACTTTACTCTCTCAATGATGTCTTATCTTTAGTCTAAATACATGACCCCTCCAGCTCTGCTGATTATGCCATTTTGTTTAAATAGAGAAATAGAGATATTCAGTTCAATTCAGTTCAGCATTCTCACCGTACATCTCTCCACTCAGATGTATAAATGGGATCTGGTGAATTTAATGCTGGAGGTAGCCCTGCAATGGACTAGCACCACTGGGTGCTACAGATATCGGGATAAGCTCCAGCATTATGGACCACTTGGCCCAATACAGACTTCAAATTAAGTGAAATAAATGTTATTGCTATACCTCCAACCCAAATACGTTTTCCGGTTGGAGAAGATCATGTCATGTGTCATAGGTCAAAACTCACTAACTCCCTAGCGTGAACAAAATTCACCAACTCCCAAGAGAAAAAACAACTTGAACTGCCATGTGATCAGGTTGAGCACCTTGAAACTGCAGAAATTTGTTGTGCTAGCTGGCATCAAGCAAATAATTTTTTTCCAGTTTTTTCTCTTTTCTGGTTGGGAGGTATAACAAAACACTCAATGAATGGCCCCACGGGAAACAGTGAGTTTTGTTTCCCCTCAACCTCATTGTTGAGGTTCTTGGAGAAAAAAACCTCACTGTTTCCCTTGGGGTCAGTCATTAAGTTCTTAATGATCCACAAATAAATTAAGCTGCCAATAATCCTCCTTGGGATTTTTATAATACATTGTACAATTCTGGTCCATATTCCTTGGAACATTTCACCCTGTACAGTACCGCTTTGTTATGCCTTGGTTTCAACATTTAAGCAGATCAAACAAAATTGAAAAGGGGTGCAGAGTTTCCAAAATGGGAAATGTTTCGAAGTTTACAAGCAGAACTGTAGATTCAAAAGCTTATTGTCTTCAGTTTGACTATGCCACAACAGCAAAAATGCTTACCTGAGTAACTTGTACTTCCTTTTCCAGATAATTTGCAGTAAGCTGAACTGTAAATGAATTCAATAAAAGCCTGCCTGGTTAAATTCTCAATTCACAAAGGTACTTAGGAAAACACAAAGACAGGGCAACCTAATTACACAAGGGGAGATCAAGAACATTGAGATAGAGGGGGCCAAAGAAATTTTGATGTGCAACCCCTCTCCCTATCAACCCAACACAACAGAATGTAAAATTTTCCTGGAAATGCTGCTTATAGGGTTCTGGGACCATTAGTTTTATGACCAAAACTTAAGGCTTCAGAAAACGAACTTAGGCAAAAAACGAAGCCACAGCCCCCTGCCCCACCCCCTCAGAATCCACTCCTGCTTAAGTAAAGAAGGCATCATTCAGTGTGTCTTGACAGACAATGGAAAACCCAATCAAGTGCTGTCGAGCCATTTACAACTTTAGACCCATTCTAAAACAATATGATTCATCTCCACAGTTGATGCCAATGAAACGCAAGGGATGACCTGTTGTTTCAAGTAGACCAGACCCTGTTAGCTTGAGCATATTATTATACGTTGAACTCACTATCTCTTTTCTGATTGGCCGAAAGAATACATGGAATTTTCGAAATCAGCACCTGTGACGTCTTCTAGCTGCAGATTATACAATAATCATGTCAAGGACACTCAAGGTCACGGGTAATCATGCCATGTATGACAGCCGTGTATGATTTGTGAGGGTAATCATGTCAGGTTTGCACGCTTTGTGTTGCTTGCCTTCAGCGAACAAGCAAAAACATAATTTCCATTTTTTTCTTTTTTTGTTCAATGTATAATAAAATAATTATTGGATGAGGTATTTGTGATATCCAGAATAATCAAGGTCTTAGTAAGGGTTATCAGCCTCAGCCTTTAGCTTCACCTGATAACCCCTACCTCGACCTTGATTATTTTGGATATCACAAAAACCTCATCCAATAACTGTTTATTACTACGGAGAGTGCAACCACTTAGTTGAAGTGTACACAGAACATTTTTCAAATCATGCTCTGAATACCCTCATGAACAGGCAGAAAGCTTGTCAATAAACAATTATGTTTGGCATGTGCATGTGAGCCTTTTAATAATTATTAGTGTGATGGTTTCAGTTTAGCCAGTATTTCAGGGGCCTGTTTCTCGAAAACCCTGGAAACTTTTGGGGCCTACAAAGCTATTTTTAGTTAATCTGTATCTAAAAAAAGAAGGTGTGTATGCCTGAAACTTCTTGTATGAAGGGAACTTCTGTTCATATTAAGAATATGTAAATAGAACAGCTCTGTAATGATAAGGTTTGAGATTTTGCAACGGCTTTCCAAGTACGAAAACTTTTTGGGACCATCGAGAAACAGGCCTCAGGTCCAGCAGGTACATTTTGCAGGTTGAAATGACTTGTTTATTTAAGTTGAAGTCAAATAAATCCCAGTACAAAGACTAACTGCTAGCAACCTAAGCTAATTTAGGCTAACCGGAGTGCTAATCAGGCTAACTGAAGTGCTAAGTAGACTCCTGCCGGCTTAAAAGTCGATTTTTCCACCTGCAACCTGAAAAACATATCGGCCCCCAGGAGGTCCCTACAGAGAAGGTCAAAATCCGGACGCTGACATGAACGCGTGCATGTACAAAACGTAAGGGATTTCCCTCAAACTAAGCTTGAGAGCAAAATAAATGCTCCTTTTCTTTTAACCAAGCACAGTGACCCCCACTTTTTTTTCATAATTTCAATCAGAACAATATCCTCAATAACTGAGGAAAAAATCAGCAGAAATCTATGGCGTCTTTTTTGGCAAATGAAATAAACACTAAAGAGGGAGACATAACGGGCCCAATAGCGCATGTCCAAATTATCTTTCCTTTAAAGGATAAAAAAATGCAGGGTATTTGAAGACATTTTTTCTGGGATGTAGATAACTAAACAATCAAAGAAAGTCAAACCCTGTGTGATATAACGCGCTGCATTGAAAAATAATTAGCTTTTATTAACTGAGCTGGAGGTCTGTATGGGAGAATCTTGACCGAGGTCGTGAGTACAGACCGAACGCAGAGGTCTGTACACACGACCGAGGTCAAGATTCTCCCATACAGACCGACTTAGCTCGGTTAATAAGATGTTTATTATATGGCAAAGAAGAAAA